GTACCTGTTCCTGGATATGTGTTGTCATAGCCCACTAAGTGTTACTAAGTTGTCCCTGATGCAGTAGTTGCATCCTTTACCAGGAAAGAGTTTAAGTGAGCTCTGAATGTTTTCCAGTGCTTAAACAAATTGACAGTTAACTTATAACTAGCCTCTGAAATGACCTAGCTAGTTGTTCTGAGGGTAGTTAAGAATGGGCAATAGAATAGTGTTCACAAATAGGAATGAATAAAAATAAAATCTGCCATAGTGCTCAGCAGCTCCTTCCAAGATATGCAAGATGTAAAACCCATATGGGCTGCAGCTCTGTCACTAAAACAGATAGTCATTTAAAAAGTTCACTGGTCTGTATTCCACTGCGTTCCATGAGTGAAGAAATCGCAATCCAGTAATTTGAATGATAGTTCATCTCAGTACAAACACTACCACAGCACTGTAAGTTTACATTGAACATTGTATTCCATCAGATATGATGATAAATCTTTCCCCCTCAGTTGGATGGTGAAAGATCCTAGTGTGCTGTTTGAAGGAAAACAGGGAAGTTCAAGTGTTTTAGTCAATGTCTTTTTATTCCTTGCCCAGCAGCTAAAATAGATGATCCAGATACTTATTTCATTGCTGTTGGTGATAGATTGAAGTGTGCAAAGTAGTTGCCATGTTTCTTAATTTGTAACAGTTACAACATTTTAGATGTTTTTTTGGCTGTAAAATGCTTTGGTTCTTTATTAAATTGTAGAAGGTGCTTTTTGGGTACATGTTCTTTCTGTATTCCTATTATATTGGATTGCCTGGGCACTGACCACTAACTGAAGTAAATTTACTTTTGAGTAATAGTTAAACAATCTGATTGCTTTCACAGAATTTCACAGGAATTTGTGTTAGCAAATGCAGTTTTTTCACATTTAACTGTCATTGTTTCAATACACACAACTGTAAATTGTATCAAAAATCTCTTGAATGTCTCTTGTATGCAATCCCATTAAAAGATTTGCTCCTTTCACTTCTGCTATATTTAATAAAAGAAAAAGTATAAAAAATGGGATATTGATTTTACTTCAAATAACTTCATTTGCTGTGCACATTCTCAGCTCCAGGTAGCAGGGATAGATATTTTCTAATCAACCTGTTAGGAGATGTTATCGCACAACTCTGGAGCAGGTGGAATGTGAATCCATGCTTCCTGGCAGAGCTAGGGACACTATCAAATGAGGTTTAAACAAAGCTGACAGTTTAAGTAGCCAGCTATTTTCTTGAACTGTGCGTGCGCAAAGCATGGGCCTAGACTACAACTGACTGAAAATCAGAAATCACATGTTTTGATGTGGGAATTCGGATTTTGGGAGATTTCTATCATATTTGCCACAGCAGCAATCCTCTCTGTATCAGCAAAGTTCTTGGCTTTTATGTATGTTTAGCAATGGTATTAAGTGATGTGTTTTATTCACAGTTGTGAAGCATACAAACTTGATAATAGGGCCTCCATCATGTGAATCTGGTGGGAAATTTTACCAGACAATTTATTTCATTCTGGTTTAAAGATTCAAATGATTATTCAAAATGCACATAAAATTTCCTTTTGACTGCTGTCATAACCATGGATCGTAATCAAAGATCATCCATGGACATATTGAAGTTTTAAGTCCCAACATGTGCTTTTTATAAAAGGGATGGATGCAACTGCAGATATAAATCCAGTGACTGTCTGGTGAAGAACTTTGGATTATCATGCTTACAGGTATCAACAAAGATTGAAAGAGAGAAATGTGCTACAAACTGAACTGTAATCTACTGTAAGCATCATGCTTAAGGTGGTATGGTGAGGGACAGTATGCCCAGGAGTATCTTGAGTTTGAAAATAAGAATGAAAACTGAGATCTCGGGAAAGCTGTAAGTTGGTTGGTTGGTGAGTTACAGTGTGTGCAAAGTGCTAGAGCATAGAAAAGAGTAACATTTTAAAACAATTTTTAAAAACCTATCTTTGAATTAATTGACATGAGTAGAAAGGAGGTAAGAAACTAGAAATTCTATTACTTATAAATTTTAAGATTTATTGGATTGCTAAGGTTTAAATTAGTGCCTAGTGAGAAGAGGCATTAAAGTAATTCAGTAGTTAGGAAAATAATTAAGGGGACAATATAGATAGCAAGGCAGTTGATGTGTTGTGACCGCAGACTGAGAGAATTCCCGGATGTCCTTGTGGTCCAAGGCAAAAGTCTCTGCAGTGAGCTTAGATTAGAGTTTACGAACTGGAGGCTGAACTGCAGACTCTGCAACACATTGGCGGGGAGTGTGGAGGAGAGAAGAGTTAGCAGAACACTTTGTTCCAGAAGACACTTGCATTTCATTCTGTAGGATTTTCTGATTTGGTCAGTGGCGGCAATGGGATGCTGTGACTATGAGACAGGTACAGGGAACCCACTGAAGAGAAGCCTTGGCCTTTGCAATTGTCCAGTGGGTTTGTTGTTGCAGCTTGTATGGATGAAAGAGATGTCTGAGTGGTGGATGAGAAAACTGGCCATGATACAGGAAATCATTCAAATGTGGAGGGTTAATAGCAATGTGTGGTAGTCGGGGAATAGTACAGTCAGAGGAATTGGCACACTGTTTGCAGCTGGGAGCTAGAGGACAGACAGCTGTGATGTCTGCTCTGTGCCAAGGTTCATGGCATCTGCTCTGGGCTGAAGAGGAACCTGCAATGGAATGGGGAGGATCTAGCGATCATGGTTCAGTGGCGCACTAATGACATAGGTAGAACTGTGGTAGAAATTCTGCTGAAGCAGTAACTGAGGGCTAAATTACAAAGCAGAATCACAAAAATAATTGTCTCAGTATTTACTACCTGATTCAGGAGCAAATTTATGCAAGTTACATCAGATTAGTGTGTTAAATCCTGCGGACAAAATGGGTTTTGGCATGGGGCACTGGCACCAGGACTCTGGAAAGTAGGAGCTGTATGTTTGGATGGTCTTTATCTGAACCATGTGGTGAGCTATATAACTGGGGTGGTAGAGGGGCCTTTGAACTAGATAGTGAGGGCCAGGAATTGTGCCTGAGAAGATGTGATAAGGCTAAAGGTTGCAATAATAATAAAAAGACAGAACCGAAGCCTCTGTATTTGAACGCAAATAACACTTACAACAAAAAGATGAATGGACAGCACAAAACAAGTGTGTACTTGGGTAGCCATAACAAGACATGATTGCAAGAGGACAAAGACAGTGACCTGAATATCCAAGAGTACACGAGATTTAGGAATTACTGAAAGCTAGAATAACATGGAGGAATAAATCTGTTAATTATGGATGACGTTGATAGGGTGGATGCTGAGATGATATTTCTCTGTGTGGGAGGGACCAGTATGAGGTAAAACGGTTTAAACATAAGGGGTCTCCCGGTAATGGTGGAGTGAGGCAAAATGTTTTTGACAATTGAGTCTTTTGAACTTTCTTCTCTAGAGAGCAGTGGAGGCTGAGACATGGGATATGCTTTAAGAGAGCGTGATTTTTGAATAACAATAGAATCAATGGTTCAGTGTAGGTGGGAATATGAAGTTGAGGCCACAGTCAGATCAGCCATGATCTTACTTAATGGCGGACCAGGCTACCGTGAATGAAAGACCTACTCCCCTTTATTTCTGTGTTTGTATGCATGTTCATATAAATGAAGGAGATTGGTGACCAAACTAAACAAAGGCTCAAAATGTATTCAAACATTTTACCCTCCACTGATAATGCATTTAGCCATTATCCTCAGGATGTTCATTTTTAAAAATTCTTTAATCTTTCATTTGCTTATATAGAAAGATTGCATGTTCCTTCTAAGTAGCCTAATGTTTTATACAACAAGATGAGAATTACATGTTGAACCAGCAGTTGAGGCCTGCCTATTATGTTACCAGTTGCATTGTTTGCTGCCACCTATAGTGAAATTTCAGAGAACATCAACTCAAAGCATTGTTCTCTTACACAGAAATCTTACAGTATAATGGCTTTGAATATCAGGTAAATCAAAGAAAGTGTGGAGGCAAGTGTCTGATTTTCAGCCAATGAATAACCTTGTGAAATGTTGACTTTTGAATTTTTTGGAAGCATACCAATATAATCAAAGAGTCATATAATGATGCAATGTATATAAACCATTTCATGAGCCAAACAGCAGATCCAGCAAAATGTGTAGAATTACTGTCACTCTTGTTCTTCTAAAGTTGCCCAGTTTCTTATTGCAGTGTAATAGAACTGGGGATAACAAGGTTCTTGGTGACATGTCCAGTTGCTGAAGTTTCTCAGATATATCTGGGAGAGAACACAGTCTTTCATAATTACCAAACTAGCATGTGGGATATTCGTGTGTATGCTCTTGTGTCGCATCATGCTGACATCTTGACCACAGATGGTTCGCAATGCCTTTAGAGCTGGCTATTAGATCTCCCATTTCAACCATAGAACTGTGCAGCCATGCCTAGCTTGGAAGGCAGCTTACTGCTACTTTCTCAAGAGCAACTAGGGATGGGCAATAAATGCTGGTCAGCCAGCTATACCCACATCTCACAAGTGAATGTATTTTTTAAAAGTGAAATGTGTGGCCACAATGATGGAAATCTCATTTGGCACTGAACAGTTTAGAGAAACCAGTAGAGAATAAACTAGTAATTTCAAATTGATTCATTGAACTGAGACTTCACATGATTTTATTTGTTTTGTTTTCTTTGCCTGTGATTAGTTATGCTTTGTTCTAGCTGAGATTGCTACATTGTATGACTTCACTGGGAAAACCATTTTTTTTGCAATGTGCAGGGTTACTTTTAATGTATAGCCACTGTTTAAACTTCAAATTAAAACTGAAGACTATTGTAAATATTTAAAGAATCTTCAAATAATGATGTTTGAGATCTTGTTCTTATTTAAGTAGATCAAATTTGAGTTGTAATTTAGTGTCAACTCATGATTTTATATAATCTTCCTTAGAATGTTGTGTGAAATAATATTTTCTTTGAATTTCAGTTTAAGCTTTGATCATGACGACCAAAAGTGGATCTTTAACTGAAGTTAAGGAAGAGCCAGAGCAAATTGAAGAAGATCATTTTGAAGTTTCGGATTCTCAAGAACCTGTCAACGTAAATCAAGAACAGCAGAATGATGTCAAAGAAGTTGAACAGCCAGATTCCATAGAGCAACTTCTGAAAGAACAGGAAATAAATTCTCCAACTTCACATGCAAGTGCCCAAGCTAGTCCTTCTAGCAGTGACAAAAAGGAGCAGACAGTCAGTAAAGGGCTGTCACGATTTTTACCTGGATGGCTTAAAAAGCAAAAGTCACTATCCACAGTAGAAACGACAGAAGACAAGGAAGCTGAGAAGGACATTCCTCAAGCTGAGGACATACATCCAGTTGAGGAAGAACAGCCAGAGCCGGTATGTACTTCATCAGAGCAGGAAGTAAAGAAAGAGGAGGAGGTGGAAGAAGAGGCTAAGAAAGATGAAACAGGGGAGCAGCTTTCAATGAATTCTGCAGAGTTACAGGTATAGTAAATTCTGTATTATACATTTTTAACTTTACTCCAGATTTTAATGTAGCAATTTAAAGTAATACGTAATTCAGTTTGTTAAAATACTCTTGAATTAAATATAAAAGTCCTACAACATGATAATTTATAATGATTATCCAATTTCTGAAGTTACTCCATCTGATGTAAATTGAGAAAAAACTGCAACATTTGTAAATCTCAGTTAAGAACACAAATGCAGGGTATGCATGACAATTCCTACATTTTCTGAAAAAGAAAAAGGCACGTCAATATTTTAGAAATTAACTGATATTTGTTCGAAAACCTATGCATCAGCTTTTTATTTCCAATGTTGTCTATTTTGATGCAAATAATCAATAAAAATTAACACTTCTATACACTTATTTGTTCTCTGTATAAACTAAAATGTGTGCAAGAAAATATTTTTCCAGACCATTTAAAACCAATTTGTAATATTGGAGCATATAATAAGCCTAAGAGCAACTTTGTTACTACTAAAAATTTAAGAAGTATTTAGATGTACACTTGTGATACCAAGGCTATGGGCCAAGTGCTGAAAAATGGGATTAGAATAGTTGGGCAGTTGGCTTTGAGAAGCAAAGATTTAAGGCCATAGGAAGGAAGTTGTGAAACTTGAAAGGGTTCAGAAAAGATGTACAAGGATGTTGCCAGGGTTGGAGGTTTTGAGCTATAGGGAGAGGCTGAATAGACTGGGCCTTGTTTCCCTTGAGCATCGGAGGTTGAGGGGTGACCTTAGAGGTTTATAAAATCATGAGGGGCGTGGATAGAATGAAGAGCCAAGGTCTTTTTCGCAGGGTCGGGGAGTCCAAAACTAGAGGGGATAGGTTTAAGGTAGAGGAGAAAGATTTAAAAGGGACCTTTTTCACAGAGGGTGATGCATGTGTGGACTGAGCTGCCAGAGGAAGTGGTGGAGGCTGGTACAATTAAACATTTAAAAGGCATCTGAATGGGTATATGAAGAGGAAGGGTTCAGAGGGACATGAGCCAAATGCTAGCAAATGGGACTAGATTTATTTAGGATATCTGGTTGGCATGGACGAGATGGATTGAAGGGTCTGTTTCTATGCTGTACAACTATGACTCTATGATGAGCCAAATAGGAAAATCAGAACTGTAACACCTCTGTTTGACAAAGGATGGTGAAAAACAGTTAGCCTAAAGTGAACAGACAAAATAGATGAAGGAGACTTAGAGGCACAGTGTTAGATATTTAAGATATTGCATGACTGTCAGCAAAGGTATCTTGCATTTAGAGACAACAACTCCAGGAAAAGAATGCACCAGTCATGGATACAAAGAAATTTAGGAATGGAATTGAATTGAAAGAAAACACCTCACATCTGTCACTGGGCAAATGCTAGAATCCATTATTAGTGAGATAGCACCTGGCTGTTTGGAAAATCAAAACGATTCTGTATAAGTGAAATCATGCAGGCAAATTCCAGAGAAGTGCAAAAGTAGTAGGGTGATGATACGGGATTTCAACTGCCCCAGCATTAACTGGAGCAGTTGCAGTATAAAAGGTTTAGAGGAAGTGAAATTCTTAAAATGCAAAGAGGAAAGCTTTTTAAGCCAGTATGTAGAAGGCCCTGCAAGAGAGGGTGCAGCCTTGAACTAAAGTTTAGCTAATGAAGCCAGGCACGTGGTTGAAATATCAGTGTGGGGTTGGGGGGTGCATTTTGCAGACTGTAATCGTAACTTCATTAAATTCCAAGATAGTAAGAACTGCCGATGCTGGAGTCAGAGATAAGTGTAGAGCTGGAGGAATACAGCAGGCCAGGCAGCATCAGAGGAGCAGGAAAGTTGACGTTTCAGGTCGGGACCCTCCTTCAGAAATGGGTGAATCAGTAGATCTCTCTCCCACTGCAACCCTCTGGTAATCTCTTTGGCCCTGAAACTCTTCGAACCCCTTTCTGAAGAAGGGTCCCAACCTGAAACGTCAGCTTTCCTGCTCCTCTGATGCTGCCCGGCCTGCTGCGTTCTTCCAGCTCCACACTTCATGAAATTCAAAATCGTTATGGAAAATGACAAGGATCGGCCTGAAATCAAAGTTCTAAACTGGAGGAAAGGCTGATTTTTAAAAAATAAGATTAAGTATGATTTTTCCAGAATGGACTGGGAACAAATATTGAGAAATCCGTGTCAGAGAAATGGGACACATTCAAGAAGAAAATATAGGGGGTATAGGGCCAATATGTTCCAATAAGGACAAAGGATAGAACCAACAAACCCTCTGAACCCTGGATATCAATAAATGTGCAAGATTTGATAAAGAGAAAAAGGGAAGCTTATGGGAGATACCAAAGGCTTAAAACAGCAGAAGCCATAGGGGAGTGCAAATGTGCAAGGTGAAATGTAAAAAGGAAATCAGGCAAGTAAAAATGGGCATGAAAGAATATTGACAGCTAAAATAAAGGAACATGCTTGAATATTTTGCAAGTACCTTTAGGAAAGCAAGGGAAACAGTAGGGTCCTTTAAGGACCACAGTTGTACAGGTAGTTCTGCTTTAACGCGTGTTTGGTTAGCGCAAATTGGCTGTAACGCGGTTGATGAATAGCGGCTGCTGTTTGGATAATGTGAACTTTCTGCTGTACAGGTACAGCGATTTTCCCTATAAACGTGATTTTCTGTAGCATGAGGTTGCACAAGAATGCAATTATGGCATTATAGAAGAAAGACCAGTAATTTGTGTATATTGAGCTAGAGGCTGTAGGTATGGTTTAAATGAATACTTTGTTTCAGTGTTCACTAATGAGAAGGATGACAAGAGTATAGAAATCGGGAAGAAGGACTATGATAAACTTAAAGAAGTTAGCATAGGCAGAGAGGAGATTCTGAATGGTCTGGCATACTTGAAAGTAGATAAATCTCCAGGGCTATGTAAACTCTATCCCAGACTGTTGAGTGAAGCATAGGAGGAAATAGCAGGGACATGAGTAATAATTTTTCAATTCCTCCCTGGACACTGAAGGACTGGAAGACGGCCAATGTGGTACTCACCAAAATTTGATGACCTAAAAATAAGTAAGAAAGTAAGTTATCAAGAAGGCATCAAATATAAAAGGATTTAGATTAAGTAAGTGGGGATAAATTTGTTTTCTGCAGTATAATCTGGGAAAATATGAATACCTACTTTGGCTGGAAATATAAAAAAGTATTATTTAAATAGAGAGAAACTTCAGAACTACCTCCTGCAGTGAATTGTTGAGTTAATGAAGAAAAGTTGAGCAAGTTGGGCCAATGCCATTGGAGATGCAAGAACAGCATACTTCCTGAAACATAGAAAGTCTTTTCGAGATTGATGGATGTTGAGAGGTTACTTCCCCTTGTGGGGGAGTTCGGAACTCGTGCACGCAGTTCTAAAAATTAGGAGTCTTTCATTTCAGCGGGTGAATACAATTTTTTGAGTTTTTAGTAAGTGGAATTCTTCTGTGCAGAGAGCAGTAGAGGCATAACCATTTAGTACAATTGAGACCAAGTTAGGTAAGTTTTTGGTTGACAGTTAATCCAGGGTTGTGTGTAGCAGACACCCAAGTAGAATTATGGTCAAAATCAGATCAACCATGATCTTGTTGAATGATGAGCAGACTAGAGAGGCTGAATGCCTACTGCTAATTCCTCAAATACCACATTGTTCCCTAACCCCACACGACCGCCCATTTCTCTCTCCTTCCCAAAGTCCACAAACCTGACTGCCCCGGCCAACACATTGTCTCTGCCTGTTCCTGCCAAAAGGACTGCGACCCTCGCTCCCCCAACCCCGTGATCAAAAATGCCCTCAACTGCATCTCTTGCCTTTCCGGTACTTCTGCCCTCAAACCCCTCCCCACAACAAAAATAAAGACCAAGTTCCCCTGGTCTTCACATATCACCTCACCAACCTCCACATCCAGTGTATCATTCCCTGCCACTTCCACTACCTATAATCTGACCCCATGACCAAAGAGATATTTCCCTCCCCACCCCATCTACCTTTTGTAGAGACCACTCACTCTGCGACTCCCTCGTCCTCTCCACATTCCCCATTAGCCCCACCACACCCGGCACCTTTCCCTGCAACCGCCCTGCCCCTATATCTCCCCCCTCATCTCCATTCAAGGCCTAAAGCAAACCTTTCATATCTGACAGGGGTTCACCTGTGCATCTGCCAACTTGGTCTCCTGTATCTGTTGCTCCCGATGTAGCCTCCTCTACATGGGTGAGACCAAGCATAGACTCGGAGACCGTTTTATAGAGCACCTGTGCTCCGTACACACCAAACGGCAGCGCCTACTGGTTGCCAACCATTTTAACTCCGCTCCCACTCCTTTCGTGACATGTCCATCCTGGGTCTCCTCCAGTGTCACAATGACACAACCCACAAACTGGAGGAGCAGCACCTCATATTCTGCCTCGGGAGCCTAAAGCCTGATGGCCTAGACATAGAATTCACCAGTTTTAAAATCTCCTCACCCCTGGCCTCATCCCACATCCAACCCCCTCTTTCACCCTCTCCTCCTTGACCTGACACAACCTGTCCACCTTCTCTCCCACCTATCCTGCCTTCCTAATCCCCACCACTCCCAACCTGCACTCACCTATCACCATCCCACCTACCTTCCCTAGCCCCACCCCTCCTCTCTATTAATTTCCCAGCTCCCTTACCCCTTCCCATTTCTGAAGAAGGGTCATGACCCAAAACGTCAACTTTCCTGCTCCTCTGATTCTGCCTGGCCTGGTGTGCTCCCCCAACTCCTCACTGTATTGTCTACTGTTAATTCCTGTTTTCTTTAGCTAAAACCGTCGAACTAACTGGCCACAAAAGGTCCATCTTTGTTTGCCTTTCCCCAAATTGTTAGTGAGCTAGTACGAGAAATAATAAGATTCACAAGTTGGAGTAATTAATCTGTATCAGTCAGCTTATGCTGGATAGGTTTGTGTTCTTCTCTTGAGAGCAGAGAAGCCAGTGACGGGGCCTAATTAAGGTGTATAGC